AGAATCCCCTTTTTTGGCATATGTAGCGTATTAACTGTGGAAACATTGTTAACATGGAAGTTGGGAATCTAGTGTCATTGGAACCAAATGGTCTATTACATTTGTTATCATATACGTATACAGTGGTACCTTGGGTTACATACGCTTCAGTTACAGACTCCACTAACCCAGAAATAGTGCTTCAGGTTAAGAACTTTGCTTCAGGATGAGAACAGAAATCGTGCTCCGGCGGTACAGCAGCAGCAGAAGGCCTCATTAGCTAAAGTGGTGCTTCAGGTTAAGAATAGTTTCAGGTTAAGAATGGACCTCCAGAACGAATTAAGTACCGGTACTTAACCCGAGGTATACGTTTATGGAAGGCACACCTAGAAAAGCCTTGTCAAAACAGGAGCTCTTTATGCACGCATGAAGCTCCATTGATTGCAAGAATTTTCCCAATTGTTTCCCTGGAGGGCCAGTTCCACTCAGAGCTGCTCTTTCCACTGAAATGAATGGGAAAGCCTTCTGGGATCATACTGGTACTCCATATATACATCAGAGTTAATGTGGGGCTCTGGACTGGGGTTTTGTTTCTTAAAGATACTTGATTTGTGCTGAGATTTGTAACAAATTTATTTAAGAACAGTCCTATTAATGTTAAGTAGGTTTTGTGCCTTATAGTCTTTGGTAGCAAAGCAAATTACATGACTGCTTGAAGCTACAGTTTATTGTATAAAATGTGAGTATGTATGCAAAAATGCAAATCAAGCTTCATTGCTTTTTATAATTCATTCCAATGATTGTTCTGTCACTCACTGAAAATTAGCCTAGCAATTGCAACCATTAATGTTCTTTTAATACAAAGGAAATGTGTAGTTGAATGTTCTAATAATAGTAAGCATCAATTGTATAGACTGATTGCCTTAATAAAGATATTCTTTATTATACCTTTGGCACCCCTGGGACCTCTTATAATTAAATCTGATTTCACTCTCTTACCAATGTAAGCACGACTGGAGGTGTTATAATTAGTTCCAATTATTCTTCCTAAAAATGTACTCTGTTTTGAATGAGACTGCAGCTTTCTCATAAAAAGGCATATCTTGTTGCTATTACTCTTTTTAACTGTACACACACCCTATAATCTGTTGACACCTATGCGCCATCAAATGGCCTGAGGCAACAAAGTAATTTACTGTATATGGAACGTAGGATTTAACAGCAACTTTAACACAACAACACAACATCAGAAGCTATGCATCCTGTCAACAGCCTATTTCTTCCTTATCATCAGAATTAAGAAGTTCTCAAAGTGTTAACACTTCAGAGCTATTTTTAATTGTGGGACAAACAATCATATAGAAGCCAACTCTTTATTTGTTTGGGGAATGAACTATTCACCTATAGGCATAACTGTGAGGGAGGTCAGTATTGGTCTTGATGGATCCCTTAGTGGTCAACATGGCAGGGCAGCACTGCTCACCTGACCTCTGGTTTGCTGTGTTGCTGCTGCTTACCAGGTGATAGAGGGGAGAACTGGTAGTGAGGTTGATGTAGTGCAAATGCACCAGCAGGCACACCAGATCAGATCAGCTGGTGCATTTGCACTGTGCTGACCTTGCTGCCTCACTACCCCTTAACTCCTAGTAAGTAGGATCAGTATGACTGAGCAGAATTCAGGTGAGTACTGCTGCCCTGCTAGATTGACCACCCCATGACATCATCCACTACTGGATGGAACTTTCTGACCAATATTCCCCTTTCTGTTTGACACATGCACATGACACATGCATTCTAGGGACATGCACTCACAACATGCTATCCATTACTTTCCACAGAGGTATAACACATACCTAATAATCAACAACAACAAACAATAGTTGTTGTTGATATATATATATACAGTGGTACCCCGGGTTAAGAACTTAATTCGTTCTGGAGGTCCGTTCTTAACCTGAAACTGTTCTTAACCTGAGGTAGCACTTTAGCTAATGGGGCCTCCCGCTACTGCCATGCCGCCGCCGCATGACTTCTGTTCTCATCCTGAAGCAAAGTTCTTAACCCGAGGTACTATTTCTGGGTTAGCGGAGTCTGTAACCTGAAGCATCTGTAACCTGAAGAGTCTGTAACCTGAGGTACCACTGTAAAGGTAAAGATACCCCTGACCGTTAGGTATAGTTGCTGACGACTCTGGGGTTGTGCACTCATCTCGCTCTATAGGCCAAGGGAGCGGGCGTTTGTCTGCAGACAGCTTCCGGGTCATGTGGCCAGCATGACTAAGCCACTTCAGCGCACGGAAACGCCATTTACCTTCCCACCGGAGCGGTACCTATTTATCTATTTGCACTTTGACTTGCTTTTGAACTGCTAGGTGGGCAGGAGCTGCGACGGAGCAACGGGAGCTCACCCCGTCGTGGGGATTCTAACCAGCAACCTTCTGATCGGCAAGCCCTAGGCTCTGTGGTTTAGACCACAGCGCCACCCGAATATATAAATATATATATATATATATATATATATATATATATGCGCCCCAGGGGGCATATACAAATATGGCCTGTGGGCCTCTCATCCAGCTATGGGCCTCTCATTCCCCAGGGCTCCACACACAGAACCTTAATAATTCAAGTTAAAAAACAAAACACAACTTCTATCAAAAGAGTTATGGCTCAGGCTGTCTGAAGGACCATATTCTCCCATACGAATCTGCCCGGGCTCTGAGATCATCAAGGAAGGCCCTTTTCTCCATCCATCCACCCTCACAGGTACATATGGTGGAAACTTGTGAGGAGACCTTCATGGTGGCTGTTCCCAAAGTTTGGAATTCCCTTCCTAGAGAGGCCAGATCCAAGTGCAGAGTCCAACTCCATGCTGGCAAGAGCCATTGCAAAGTTTGTTGCATACCCACCCAGACACTGGCTGGAAACTAAACAAACACCAGGCAAAATACTTGTTCCAAAGTAAATTGGTTTGTAATTTTTTGTTGATGGTGGTGTTGGTGTTGGATGCAACCACTTGGAGGGAGATCTCTCCTGTTTATCAGAAAGATTTGTGTTCAAAATAGAAAGCTTTCTGTTCTAGGTCACTGAAAATAACCCTCTGCTGTAAATCAGTAATTAGCCATATAGTTAAAATACTATTTTCTCCTTTGTGTGCTAAAGATGATTTCTTACCATGTTCTCTTTATCTGTTTATATTAAGTGCAGCTGCTTCATTATTGATGTAAAGAAGCAATTCAGAATTGTATGATTAATTTTAATGTAGATCTTTCTTATCTGAATAATTGATGGGACATGATCATAGACATTCTGAGTCAGTAGCTGTTACTCCTCTTGTCTCTTCTTATCTTTGTATTTGTACTCATTGCTTAATCCCAGAGGGAAATGTGCATTTTGTTGGGAAATATTTTTAATTCCCTAGCCTCCTGTCATTTTAATTCAGGCCTTATACGGGCATAAGACTCCACTTTGTTCTATGGAATCTAGAAATCCATCCTGCTTTACATACCGGAAAAGGCACTTGATCTTGCACCAAACACCCAACACCTTCAGGCTTACAGAAGGTATGCATTACAAATGTAGCAAGCAAGGCATTTTTCATGCTATTATAAAACAAAATCACCCCTTGGTAAGAAGGAGGGAATCCTGACTGAGGACCCAGAACTATCTAGCTTGGCTGTTGGGGAAAATAATTTTGCTGCCTTCCAGTAAGCACTGAATCCAGCAAACAATTGCACCTGTAATGTCTGCCAATGCTGGCATACAGCTAGCTCTCTCTCCTATCCACACGCACACATCTCATTAATTGGAATAGTGGCAGCAGCTCATTGGATCGGTTACTTCTAGTATTAAGAAAGGGAAACAGTAGATGCAGAAGGATATTTGTGTATACTATAATGTGGGCATGCAGCTCTAAACTAGGGGGCAGATTTAGGAAGCAACGCACCACTAGGATTGGGCCTAGAGATCCAAAGCGTCATGCATAGGGATAGCCTTCTATGCTACCCCATCACATTGCACCATAATAGGAAGCCCAAACATGTATTGCTAAAGATCTGTTGTTCTGATGTAGATAACTTCCCCCATTCTTGAATCAGTGGCTTGCAGAAGGTTCTGTAAGTATTTTGGTACCTAACATATTTGGTTGTTTTCTTGTTTAATGCAAAGGAATCTGCCTTGTTGGCTGCGATGAGGCTCTTTTGTGAATTATTAGGGGTTTTGTACTTACTCCAGATTACTTCTCGGTCTCCCTGGAAACGGATCATCAATTGTTGATCAGACACAAGAAAACACCGTTTCCAAAATCTAAAGCTTCGTGTGATACATGGGGGCCAGGAGGCCTTCCCATTAACTTTACTGGAAAGAGCAGCTCTGTACAGAACTGACCCCAATTCTCTGGAGCAATTGGGAAATCCCTTGCAACCACCCATGTGTGCACAGGAACCCCTGTTCGGACAAGGCTCCTCCCACAGGTGTGAACGAGCCCTGCCACACTAATTTGAATAAATGTAGTGGGATATTGGTTCAAATTAAGTTATTGACAAGATCTCTTCCTTTCTCTTTCTCAGGGTGTGTCTGAGAACAAGAGTTCAGTCCCTGTGGAATCTCTTAGCTTGACCTTTCCCCTAATCTACTGGAAGTTCTGGTGATGCTGCTAAAGTTTACCTGAGTCTGGCTCAAAAATGAACTTATGTGGTTTTTAACAGGGCAACTCCCCAACTATTCCCAGGCTTGGATCAAAATAGCAGCAGGCCTTGGAGAGACATCCCAGGAACCAGCACCATAGAACCCCTGCTTTGTAGCATGTGAAGATGGCCGAGGGCGATGGAGAAAATGAGGTGTGGAAATAGCCGCTTACCGTCCTCCCAATGAGCGGTGGTTGCAGCCTGATGCAGCCCCTCCACTCTCATCCACACACACCACACCATTTTTGCTGTTTTTCCTATCCCTTTCAGCCGCCACGGAGGCTAACATTGTTTTAAATGTTAAAGAACAGTCTTTATCCATACCAGCCAATGCAGTGGACATGTGTAGCTCAATGGTAGCGCATTTGCTTTGCATGCAGAAGGTTCCAGATTTAATCCCTGGCACCTCCAGGTAGGGCTGGGAGAGATTCTCTTACTGAAACTGCAGAGAGCCACTGCCAGTCAGTGAAGGGAATACTGAGCTAGATGGACCAATGGTCTGAGTCAATATATGTAAGGCAGTTTCTGGACTTCCGGGGTGGCGCCATCGGTAATGGCGGATTCCCTCTGATCTGGAGGCACCAGCTCCACGGGAAACGGGTCTTTTCCGCTACGGCGAAGCGGGGACCCTTTCAAAAATCACAGGCGGATGAAGCCTGTGACCATGGGACTCAGCGGGCACCTTTAGCGCCCCCCCCAACCCGCAAAGGAACCCACTAACGGGCTCCGGAGTGAAGAGGGGGAAGTGGCGCGGTGCTGAGAGTCAACTGCTTCTTCCGTGGAGCGAAGCCGCACAGCCGTTGCCGGAGAGCGCTGCCTTTTCCCTGGGACAATTTGGCTTCTAAATCAATCACCCGTGAGTACTTAAATTTCGGACAATTGGACTCTAAATAAGGACTTGCGTGCAGAAAGGAAAATTGGACTTAAAAGTTTATTTCAATTTGGCACTGAAATGGGAAGGTCTAAACAGGAAGTCAGCCTTCCGTTTCTTTGTAGATAGATTAAAGCAAAGACATGGCAAACTAGAGCTCAGAAAATCGCTTGTAAAGGACTAACTTTCATCATTTAAGATTGTTGAACCCCCTTCGGAAGCAGGAGAAGAGGGGGGATTTTTTCTGAACTGTTTAAACCTGCAGAAGTGAGTGTAAAGTAAAGTAACTTTCCACCGTCTTGATCCTGGAGCGGGGTGTCAAGACTGACGTTTTTTGAAGCTCATTGACCAGAGACAAACGTTTTTGACAGATAGCTAAAAGAAGAGAAACATAGTGATTCCATTGTTCCCCTTCGCATTTTAAAGGAATAAATATTGACAAAATATCTGAAAAAGGAAACTTTGTTGTTAGATTTGTCTTTAAAAGAAAAGAACAAATAGAAGTTTTTCCCCTAGAGGGAGCCTGTGAAACTGTAACTAATTCTGAATCGGGAGCTTGCAGCTGTTACAGATTACGATCGTGGGAATAGACTTCTGACCTTGCAGGACAATGTATTCAGAAGCTCTGCTGTGTGCTCTCTGTAAAACAAGTGCCCTACTGGAACAGCTACATGAGAAGACGGACTTGATGACTGATGCAATCAAAAATTTTGAACAGGCAGTGGGAAATTATATGGAGCCCACTCAGGAATTAAATCAGGAGTGTGCCCTGACAGAACAGATGAGGGAAGAGGATGTTGCTGAATCTTGGGCGCCAGAGATGGAGGGAGCTGTGGCCCAGCAGGAACATGAGCTTTTGGATTTGACAAATGAACTTGGAAAAAGCCAGATTTGGAAAGATAAAGTTTGGTTTGGTTTGGAAATGGGGGTTGGATAGACCCCCTATGCAGGGATGTTTGGACTTTTCGAATCTGGCAATGGGCCGTGAGATGTTTGGGGTTGTGGGGGCTCTTAATTTTGGAGAGACTTTGAAACATGTTCTTAAATATCACATGGAGTTTAGTGTGGACTATGGAAAAGGGGCTGATATGTCGAGAAGGGTCAAAAACATTGCTAAGCTGGAGTTCCCACGAGTGAAAGGAGCAGGAGACAAAGGAAAATACAGTTATAAATATGAAGAAGAGCCGCGGAAGGGACATGGAAGGGACTTAAGGGCCTCGGATATAAGATTACCAGGTTAATGCGCTAGATTGATGAGATAAAAAGGACTGACAAAACCCGGGACCAGGAGGAAGAGACGCTGGATGAAGATTGGATTGTTTTTTATTTCTTTTTATTATTAGGATTGTTTTATAAAACTGATGAATGTTAGAAAAATGTTGGAACGAAATTATTTGGCTTTAGCAAAAATGTTTAAAGAATTATGTAAGAATATTATGGTTATGAGAAGTTGGTAAAAATAAGATTTAAGTTTTAGGTTTTAAGGTTTTTATAGTAAGATAAGATTAAAATAGATTAAGGTAATGTAATGACAGAATATTATGAAATATGGAAAGGATTTGCTGCGACAATTAACAACTAGGATACAAAAAAAGGGAGGAGGAGGAGGAGGTCAAAGAAAGAAGGTAATGACAGTTAAGGATTTGAGAATTATGGATTTGTTTTTAAATGTTTGTGGTATATTTTTGTTTTCTGACCGTGTTATGATATTTTTTTATTTTGATTTTTATTAATTTGTATTGTTTGATGTGGTTTGTTTTTTCTTTGTTTTTTCTTTCTCTTTTTCTACCTTGTTTTCTTTTGTAATTCTCAATAAATATCATTTAAAAAAAAATATATGTAAGGCAGTTTCCTATGTTGGCCAGCATTAGGGCGGCCTTTTTTAGGATAGTATATGCATACATCGGGAGCATAAATGCCACAAACCATTGACTTACTGGGTTGCCAAAGTTATCTGTGGTGCTTCTGCTTTATTAGAGTTGCCAACTTACTGGAACCATGTCTAAATAGTACAAGATACATGTTTAATCTTGACACCCACACTAACAGCTCAATTTCTTACAAGCGCAGAATGATTATTATGGGGCACCTGTAAGAGTTCCAGTTTCACAGATCAAAGTAGTCAGGTGTACACTTATGGGATAAGGTATTTATTGCATGTAAACTGGTCCCAAGCTGTCAGCAACTTCAGATACCAATGGTAACACCTCGACCATTGCCCGGTAACAATTTGGCAACCAGTGCATATCTCCGAGCAGAGGTGTTATATGTTGACAGGGACTCATACCTGTCAGCGGTCGTGCTGTAGCATTCTGTACTAACTCCAGTTTGTGGGTCAAATGTAAGGGAAGCCACACAAAGAATGAATAGCGGTAGTCCAACTTTGAAGTCACCAGTGCCTGAGCTACTGCGGTCAAGCTCTACATAAATCAACTGGTGATGGTGGTGAGTCCAGTTTGCTTGATCATATACTCTGTAGGAATCAAAGTATGCAACAAGAGGGGAAAGTACTAAAGAGCTGCTGTCATTTACATGATAAGGGTTTTTGTGTGTGCGCGTGTGTTTCCTTTTAAAGTATTATTAAATTAACCATGCTTTTATGTTTGAGAGCATTTCGCCCCTCTCAGAAGCCACTTTTTAATCTGATGTAAATCCAATTTAGTCTTAACATTCTGAAATGAAAGACCCACTCTTTGAATTTATGTATAACTGATTTAAAGCAACTGCCAACTTCATGCTAAGCAAATAAACTATTAAAGGGAATGTGTGAAATTAGACGCAAATCAGAGACAGATTGATTTTGTTTTTATTTCAATAAATTAATACTATAAGGCTGAGGTAAAGCATGGATTTTGTTTCAAAACTAGAAAGTTAAGATTTAATTAATCACTTTTTTTAATAAAAAAAAATACCTCATTCATGTGGAAAACAGAGTTTAATTCCTTAGGGGCCTTACATAACGTCCAACATTTCTCTGATGAAAATAGGGATGTCCCATTCCATAATGATAATTTTACTATTTATACCTCACATATCTTACTGGGTTGCCCCAGCCACTCTTGGCAGTTTCCAACATACAGTGGTGCCCCGCAAGACGAATGCCTCGCAAGACGGAAAACCCGCTAGACGAAAGGGTTTTCCGTTTTTGAGTTGCTTCGCAGGACGAATTTCCCTATGGGCTTGCTTCGCAAGACGAAAATGTCTTGCGAGTCTAGAGATTTTTTTTTCGCTCCCCCCCCCTTTATCTAATCTGCTAAGCCTTTAATAGCCTTTAATAGCCTTTTAGCAGCTAATCCGCTAAGCCTTTAAGCCTTTAATAGCCGCTAAACCGCTAATAGCGCTAATCCGTTAAGCCGCTAATAGGGTTGCTTCGCAAGACGAAAAAACCGCTAGACGAAGACTCTCGCGGAACGGATTAATTTCGTCTTGCGAGGCACCACTGTATATAAAACTATAACAAAACATTAACTATTTTTTAAAAAAACTTCCCTATACAGGATTTCCTTCAGATGGCTCGGGGGTCAGATAACTCCATACCTTCTATCATTTCTCCAATGAAAATAGGGACATCCTAAGGAAAAGTGGGACATTCTGGGATCAAATCAGAAACCAGGATGGCTTCTCTAAATCAGGGATGTCCCTCGAAAGCAGGGACACTTGGGGGGGTCTGACCCTACTCTTTCTGTCCTTGCACTTGGAATAAAAAGTGGTGAGGATTTGTTTAGCATATTTCACACACACAATCATGGACTTATAAGGCCATAAAGTATATAACAGAATCCTAACCAAGCTTCTGGTTCCAGTCCTGATGCCCGAGCACAATTTCTCTGGAGCTGATACAAAACTTGTACTGTGGCCTCCCTTCTCCCTATGCCCCATAAAAGACACTGCCTGCTTTGGAAGAGTGATTGGTGCCTTTCAGCTTCTTGGTTTCAGCTCTCCCTCCGCCCCCCCTCCCCCGGCTGCCTGATTTGTATTTATAGTGGACACAACAGTATGATATGCACGCATATTCTTTAGGCGTGCACCAAATGGCATTTAAAAACTGCTCCATACCCTGGGATACAGTGTCAGATCTTGCGGGCACTCACGAGACCCGAGGCCTGACTCATTTATTGACATAAATGACATATCTAACACACATCTACTCCAGTCGCATATTGACCATCAATTTGTCACCATCAACTTCATGGTACATTTGTTGCAGTTTAGAAAAGAAGAAAAGGAAAGGGAAAACTCAGAGATCTGCTCCGGTTTGCTGAGGGGTGTACTAGTATTAAAAAAGAAATGGAAAGTAATCATGCCTCTAATCCTAGGGCCCCATCCACTATAAGCCTCTCTCAATCCAACACATTTTGCTGTTGCAAACCCTGAAGACATGAGAACCTATTGGCCTGATTTCTCAGACTCTGATTTATAGTCTGAACTGAACCACAGCTAGATCAAAAGACCATAAAGAATAATATAACTCTTTCTGAACGCCTCCCGGGTATGTCTTTGAAAGGACGAAAAGTGTAGAAGTGAATATAATATTATTTTT